CAGCTGGGTCCCAAGTTTTTAAGTCGTCCTGAGAGTGAGTGGCCAATCAAGTCTGCAAAAGACGTTGCTGTGGAAGCCAGGGAGAACCTGATGCACATCCAGAAGAAGGCATTTATCGCTGCCCTCACCCGAGCTGGAGCAAAGAAAGAACCTAAGCTGGAGCCAATTTCATGCTCTGTCAATCTCCACAGGCCTCCTGCCGGAGCTGCAGTGACAAACCTGGTAAAACTCCAGCGATTCAGCCGCCTAACCAGACTGGTTAAGTCTATTGCACTGGTCTGGAGGGCAGCAAAGAAATTTCTCCATGACAGAGTCCGGGGAAAACCAAAGTGGGAGGCAGTCCCCTTGACTGGTACAGTCACCGTGGCCGAGAGAGAGGATGCCTTCCGAGACCTCTGCCTTGCAGCACAAGAAGGAGCTAATTTCCCCAGCACTACAACAGATCGGCTCGTCGCATACAGGGACGAGACCAGTGGGCTGTTGCTGTGTGGTGGCAGGATCCAGCACTTCAAGGAAGATGGTCGAGCCGTTCCACTGATTCCCTTCAACACCTGGCTGGGAACCCTACTGGCACGCCAAAGTCACCAGGAAGGCCATGAAGGGGTTGCTGGGACTTTACTCAGAATGCGACAGAAGGCTTGGATCGTACAAGGCAGAAGGCTGGCTCAGCAAGTTGTCAACCAGTGTGTCCACTGCAGAAAGGCCAGGGCCCAAGTCTGCCAACAAGTGATGGGTGACCTGCCAATGGAAAGATCAAGACCTGCTGCACCATTCCAGTTTATGTCCGTTGACCTGTTTGGACCATACCTGGTAAGAGATGAGGTCAAAAGAAGAGTCTCCATGAAGGTCTGGGGGGTAGTCTTCTGCTGCATGGCAAGCCGAGCCCTGCACATTGACCTTGTCAACAGCATGTCCACAGAGAGCTTCCTTATGGCCTACCAAAGGTTTACTGCCATCAGAGGTCATCCCACCAAGGTCTGGTCAGACCCAGGAACAAACTTTGTGGGTGCAAAGTCTTTGTTGGAGGACCTCTACAGCTTCCTGAGTAGCCAAGATACATCAAGCCTGGAAGAATATGCGGCGAAGAACGGGACAGGCTGGACCTGGAAAGTACTCCCTGCCGATTCTCCGCATCGGAACGGCGCTGCAGAAGCTGCTGTAAAGGTTGCCAAGAAAGCTCTTCGAAGTTTAAGTAACTCAACAAACCTCACTTTTAGCGAGTTCCTCACAGCCCTCCAGATGGCAGCCAACCTGGCCAATGAGCGGCCCATTGACGCAAGAGTGCAAAGTCGGGAGGACTGCGTTCAGTACGTAACGCCAAACTCACTCCTCCTTGGCCGAGCATCCCAGGGAGGTGATGTCAAGTCCTTTGACTTCGAGAACTACCCCTACAAGCGGCTCCGGGAGATCCAAACCCAGGTCAACAAGTTCTGGAAGGCATGGTGCCAGCTCGCGGGCCCAAACCTGTTCATTAGGTCCAAGTGGCACACCACAGAGAGAAATGTATCTATCGGTGATATTGTTTGGCTCTGTGATCAAAATGCCTTGCGAGGGCAGTTTAGACTTGGCCGAGTCGTCACTGTAGCTCCTGACCCAAAGGGCATCGTCAGAGATGCTGAAGTGCTTGTCACCCCAGGCAACCATGTTTCAGTCCTACCTCTACAACCAGCGGCCCACTCCTCATCTTCTGGTGACCGGAAAGAGAGACCAAATGGTGTGATACTGCGCAGAGACGTTAGACGACTTGTAGTTCTACTCCCTGTAGAAGAGCAGTAACCCTAGCGTTTAAGCTGTTCGCCTTTATAGTTTGCAACCTTTCTGTCCAAGTACAGAAAGCTTGAGTGGGAGGTGTTGCGGCGAACGCCCCCTTTTGTTTACATCAGCTGTTTAAGCGTGAGCGCGCAGTTTACCTGCGTGCAATCAATCAGTCAATCAAAAGGTGAGACAAACTTCTAGTTCAAGCAGAGGATCGCAGCATAAAAATAAAAAAGCCCCTGTTTACTCGGGCAGTGGAAGAAGCTGTGCAAAATTTGTATTAAGGAAGCAAAGGACTGAACAGACAGCCGGTAAGCTTGCATTTAATTCTGTTGTGAAAAGAATGTATGCGCCGCGCTGATGAGGCGTTGAGACGTGCGGGAAATGTTTGTTCGTACTGTTAAGCTTATAAATACTCACACGGTGCGTCATGAAAGTTTTGCCTTGTAAGTCTTGCTTGCTTGCTTTATTTGGCTGGAGAAATGCTGGTGTAACTTTTCCAGTGATTTAACGTTGCGGTTGAACAATCCAAATTGTGTTTGTGAAACTGTTGCACGGAGTAATTTTTGCATATTTCTTCTGTGTGTGATTAAAATAGACTTCTAACAGTTAAAATGAAATTTCATAGTCTATGTTATACATATTTAAAACAAACTAAAAATCACTCACTGGTTATTTATTATTGCTATTTAAGAATTGATGTAATCTATGGAGTTAAATAACCTGCATAAATCGCTTCCGTTAAAATGCTTGAATACGTTTTTTGATGCATTTTTTTATGATAATTAAAAACTAAATGGTCTTAATTTAAAGTTAAAAACATAGTCTATTTTCATAAATATATTTAATGTTGCATTTCTTAGAACTATTACAATTTGCTAGATGGTAAATGCTTTGTTTGGTTTCATTTCTTTCAAAGGTTTTTCACCTGCTTAATTAAATGAATCTGTAAACCTTTAAACAACACAAGAAGAAGAATAAAAAAAGGATAAAATGAAACAACAGTTTGGTCATTGAGTGGAATCCAGTTTAATGTTCAGCTTGATACAACCCTTCAAGTGTGGGAATAGCACAGCAAAAATCGAATCACTTGACAACAATTAACCTATAAACCTTATAAAGGCACTGCACCAATAATCTGAACTGTGTTGTGCAAAATGACTTCTGTTAAAAGAATAGTACTAAGTGTAGAAATATGGTAACATGAACTGCTCTGCAATACAACTATGAGAACAAATGTAGCTCAATATAACAATCTCATTAGTAATGTTGGCGATGGCAATATTCTTAACAAGCCTAATGAGATGGGTGTTCTGTACTCAAGGAACATAGTTTTGGGACGTCTGCCTCGGTGGTAGACATCTCAAGTCTAAGACCGTCCTCTGCATCTGCCCTACTTTTGTGTTTACATTTAATCAGTGTGATGAGATGCTACTCTAGCACATATAAGTCGCTGTAAGAGGACACAAAAAGTGCACAGTTCCTTGTTGAAAGGACAGAGTACTCCCTTTGTTTCTCTGTCGAGGAGTCAGTGTTGCTGTGTTTGCTGTCAGCAAACTGCTCTCTGCTGCATACTGCAGCACTCACTGCTCAACCTCAAGACTAAAAGTCTAGAGCTACTGATTCTTTCACATGTTGTTGACGAAGCTTTAAAAAAAACACAGAAGTAAGCATAAACTTTAGCCATGCACCGAAATGAACATTCTTGGTCGAAGTCAAAAACAAAAAAGTTGGAAATCAAGGCCGAAAACCAAAACAGTGAAAGAAATGTCAAATATTAGAACCATTTTTGGCTAACGTGCAATAATTCTATTTAATAACTCAAGGCATTTCGATTTATCAATTACAGAGGTTTTAAAGATTTTATTTATCACTGACATTTTATGTTATGCCCTTTACCTTTGCAAAATCACTGGGAAGCTTTCTTGCGTTTTCATACATGTCCGCCACAGTTTTCTTCTCTGTGTCGCATTCTTTTCATATTCAGAATAATGATGGTGGCGTTTGGATTTCAATGGCATCATTTTTGTACCTCCTACCTGACCGAGCAGTCAGACCATATACAGCATTTAACTCACACCCCCCCACTACAAACCTGCCTGCCGCATGCTCAACTCAAACTCTGCTCCGATATCCATGCTGTTTTCCTTTGTTCCTTTTCTTAACGTACTCGACAAAGTTTCTGCCTGCTGGCTTTACTGTTTGCTTGAATTCCTTCTCCCCTCATCCTGACTGTGCTGTTTGTCTTCTCATCACAAGTTTTGGCTGTTTTGTTTCGGCTGTGTTGTTTTGATGTTAATTTTTCGGTCCATCCCTGACTTACCTTAATCCTATACTTTTTCTCCAGAAACCAGTTGTTGGTCCCCACAAGTATCTATAAGTTCCAAAAATGTTTATAAATTATGGAAAATTGTCCCCACAGGGTAACAAAAACCTGGTTACAGATATTGCCATAAACATCTTCACACAAGTCCTTAGATTGGTTGCTAATCCTTGTGAAAAGAAATAACTGGAGGAGTCTGTAAATTTGCTTCATATGGTGACAAAAGTACCCATGTGTTAATTGGTTAATAACAGACATAGTTAGAGGTACCGTAGTTTTCGGACTATAAGCCTCGACTTTTTCCCCATTTTTCGACCTTGCGGCGTATATAACAATGCGGCTTATCTATGGACTTTTACAGCTAACGGCCACTAGGGTAATACGGTACCTAAATCTATGGATTTTACCATCCACCATGTTGACGTCACATTTGCTTCAACACACAAGTAGCCCCGCGCGCGGGAATGCGGACGTCCTCCGGAAGCAGACTCCGAGAAAGACGGACATTGCGAGCGCAAGACAGTTTGTGTGACACCCTCATTATGGAAAACAAATGTTGAAATGCATATGATGCAGCTTTTAAGTTAAAGGCAGTCATTTTGGCAGTTGCCTCTTTCCCGAAAATCCTCTCTGTGCACGAACCATATGGTTATTAAACATAAAAAACCAGTGGCTTATAGTCCGTTGCGGCTTGTATATGTACAAATCATGCAATTTAGCTTCTGCGGTTTATATTCAGGTGCGGCTTATAGTCCGAAAATTACAGTAGTTAAAAAGCAATTGATTCACCAAAAAAAGTAATAAATTTAACACAAAAAAGTATCAGAATGAATGTTGTACAGTCTTGTCTTGACCTACCCAGTGAGGAATATCTGAGGATATTAACTAAAAGTCTGTGTATTACTTTTATTCCGTGTCCAGAACCTGCTGTCGGAGAAGGTTGAACAGATGATGGAGTGGTCTTCTCGTCGCTCTGTCATCCGGATGAATGGAGACAAGTTCCGGCGTTTCATCAAGGCCCCACCCAGGAACTACTCTGTTATCGTCATGTTCACCGCTCTGCAGCCTCAGAGGCAGTGTTCTGTCTGCAGGTATGAATGCACAAAAGCAAATGCAAGGCCATCACAGTAACAACCGTCAGATCGCCTGCTGTAACAGCTGTTGCTTTCTTAATTATTGAGTTTTGTACATTTTGTACAGCATGTAAACTGCTGTAAATGGCCTTATGTAATATAACCTGTGGGTTATGCTGACATTTTGATCAAAAAGACTCACACTGCCTGAAGGAAATGAATATATTTTTCAAAATAAGGCCATTGAGACACTGACTTTAAAACAGTAGACGAATGCAACATATAATGGAATATTGTGTTTAATATTAGTTGTTGTTTTATTCCGGTTTCTTATTAGTTGGTGGACTCTTGGCCTCAGGGCCGACTGAAAGGCGCAGGCAGCAGTTGAAGTGTATGAGCTAATATGTAGAATATAAAACTGCCAGATAACTCGATTTCAGATAAATTCATAAGCTGTGAATTTATTTTATTAAAAAAATAAGTGAAGAACATTTTTTGTTTTCAGTAAATCAATAGGATCTGTCACTCTAGATCAAGGATTTGCATCCCTGTTTTAAAAATAATAGATAAATGTTATGCTCAATGAAGTTCTTTAGAAGTTGCTATTTCTATCACCTAAATATAAATCATACTTATTTTACAGTTGTTAGCTGTTGACTTTTCACTTGGGAGTATCACTGCTGCCTTTGGTTGGACTTTGATTTAACTCTCAGCTTTAACTGCACAAGATTAGATTTACCATCTCCAGGTGTTTAAAATAATATAGCTGGTCACAGATGGTTACAGGACAAACTCAGTACTGAAAAGGAATTTTCAATTGTATATGTTTAAATGAACTCTGTTTATTAAATCAAAGACAGGTGTCCATAAAGGATAAACTTTTCTGCTGTCTAAGAAAATGTAAATCCAGCTTTAAGCTTTTTGTAGAAATAGACCAAGTATAGAACATTTACACCAATACCCAACCCAGTGTAGAATTATCCCCAGTATTGGGACCAATGACAATAATAGAATGGGATCGGGTTGTCTCTGACAATAAATACCATGCAGTTGTCCAATAGGAGTGTTAAGTATAGTTGTCTACTTTGTAAGAAAGGTTTACAAATTGTGTGTATAAATAAACTTTACTTTAAGTGGATATGTATGTGATCATTTTATTCGGAGCAGAACTTGCAGTATTAACCGGACTGTGTGAAATGTACGGGCTATGTGTAAAACTGCACCATATGCAAGGAACCCAGCTCTTTAATTGATCTCCAATAATCTTACCCAACAGACTGGTCAGATAAACTTGCTGAATTATTACAGAATGGATAAAAAATATGCTGTCAGGGTTTGAGGATTTAAACACTATGTAACCAAGTTTGAAGCAAGGTGTGCGCATACTATCTAGAGCATAAGATGTATAAAAGAAAATCTATTTATGTTCCTTTAAAATGTACGTATGCCATGTAATCATTAAATTCTGAAAAAATAAATGTTACATGCATCTATATCACCATTTATGTGTTCTGGAACTAAAATCTTTTACAACTGTTTTTAGCTTTACTTAGTCTTTTTTTGTTTTTAATACATGGTTCATATTTTGACATAACCAGACAAATGAATAATGCTGCACTTTATGGAAAGGAAATGTTCATTTAAATGCTAAGCTGCTGCTCATTTACTGTCTGAAAGCTGCACAAAATGAAATTTTACTTTGCATACACTTTGTATATACAAAACAATAACAATTGTCTAAGAATAAATTCAAAAAGCTTTTTGTTGGCAACATTTAAAAACAACTTTCAAAATTAGATATTTTACTAATTTAACACAAAAAACAGTACACTGCAATCCACCCTAGATGCTCGTCTTCAGCTGTAAATGATAAATCAACCTTTTCCCCTAAAGCTGATACTCCGTCTGTTGTACTGTGAGGAACTCTGAATCTGGTTGACTGAACATGACAAACAGAAAATGTATCTTGGAGCCAAGTGTCTTGTTTATCCGAGTTTCACTGTGAAGTAAACCTGAGTGGCACCATTTGGTTATTAAATATAAACTTTTTTTTACAGGAGCATCTTCAAGGAGGCATTAAACTAGTGCAGGAAATTTTGACCTGATTTCTCACTTTAATCAGCCACTTTTTTTCTCATTGGTGCCTTGATTATATAAGGTATTCATCATGAATCATATGATTCATCATAACACGTCACCTCGCCTTAGTATCCAGTAAGGTTACACAGGCTTACATGTTTTTATATATTTTTGTTTCATGAAGGCTTCTTTATTCCACATGTGTGGATATTTTAAATTTAAATAATTTTGTCAGTAAGCAAGTATTACTATATCAGTTTAAAAGATTGTTTAATTTAACTTGCATTTTATTTCTATCTTTTTCTCAAATGTACAGATTGAGCAAATGAACATCTTGTGACTATAAAATGGAAACCAGATATTTAAATATTCTGCAAGAGATTTTTTTCACTATCTGATATTAAATTAGACTGTTTCCAGTTTTTCGTATTTTTGGATTACCTAAATAATTTCTTTTTTTTTTTTGTAAATGACAGAAGGATTAAAGAATATTTTTTGGAAATCTTTGTGTTTAGAAGCTTCCATAGACTCATTTTCATCTGTGTCAGATTAATTATAAAATAATAAACCTTATCATGAAATCTAGTTGTGTTTTTCTGTATTTATGCTTTTTCTGTTTGCTTTCCTGTTAAAAGGGTGACGACAACAATGTTGCGACACCATAATTCTTAATGGCAGTTATTGAGACAAAGTTATAATTGTAATTAAATATAATTCCATTAAGGAAATTACTTTTCTTTCTGAGGTCATTTCCTCTGTCCACATTAAAGATTGGGTATTTAGGACGTGCTTCCGTTGCTAAGTGGTTAGCACGTTCGACCCATGTAAGGAGGCGTAGTCCTTGACATGGTCTACCCGGCTTTAAATCTGACCTGTGGTCCTTTGCCGCATGCCTCTCCCCATTTCTTACCCGCTTTCCTGTCAGCCCAATGTACAAAGAACGAGTCACTAGTACTGTAAAAACCTCCAAATAAAAAATAAAAAAATGGGTATTATACTTGCATTTTGTTTAATCTCCCCCAGTTTTCACTCATATCCATGGGAATTTGAGCCATAGTTAAGAGCTTGCCTTAAACATGAGATATATTGAATTAACAGTACAGAAAAATAACAAATAGCTCACAGCAAACACATGTGTTCATCTTTGTTGAATCAGTATCTTTAACAATTAAAAGTTTGAAAATCAAAATTTAGGGCCACATAATGTTCCAAGCTGAATCACTATTTGTTAATGTTTTTGTTTATAGTTCTTTCTTTATTATTTATTATTTTTTTGAAGTGTTGAAGTTGTATACAATGTCTGAAATATTTTCTTTAACTTTCTAAAGAGTTTGTGTGTCATTTGTTTATTTGAAATGCTTGCTTTATATGTGTTGATAAAGCTAACTCTCTGTAGGAGACTAATAATTATGGATAGAGCTATAGGGATAAAGCTTTATTTTGTCCATCACACTGCTCCCCAGGGTTTTGTTTACATTCTTCCTTTTTTTGATTGAAGCTTAAAAGCGACTATCGTAACATTAGCAGCAGCTATAACCATATAACATCAACACACACATTCTCTGAAAGATAAATTTGCCTCCAAGTAGAGCCATGATAAGAGACGACGATGCCCATAAGATGATATGATAGCTTTACTAAAAATAAATGCATAAATAAAAAACCTCTCACTGAAGTGAAAGGCTAAATGTTTCTCTAATTTTCTCATTAAGTCTCGGAGCAAAGACGTAATCCATGTCAATTAAAAGCTCTAATCTAAAGAAGCTCCTCACTTTGCTTCAGTGCCAGCAACACTGACTGACAGCTGGCTGCATTAGTTCATCAACACTTTACTCTTTGCTTGTTATACTAAATTTATTTTCAGTTTACTGTTTTTTTCCCTCAGAGAAGTAGCAGTAGTAGCAATATTAAAATATCTCATTTGATATATTGGTTATTTATTATTAACTAAAAAGTACACATATTAATATATTGTTCTCTCAACACGCATCAGAATGCTGCAGATTAGTATACAGTGTTTTTTGGATATGTGATCAAATAAATGAATCAGTGATTCATTTCATTAACTCATATCAAGCGCCTGAATAATTAAACTTCAAGTTGTATTTTGAGGTGCTGATGATACCATATTAATATTTTCTAGTATTTTTGGCAGTTAACACTAGGGGTGTAAATCACATCCATGATGGCGATTCGATTCAGTATCGATTTCCTGACCCAACGATTCGATTATTTTCTATACTCAAGAATAGACCACACTTCGATTCGATTAATCGATTAATTTAAAAAAAAAAATTTTTTTTTAGACCTTACAGGCTAAACAAAGTTTCAAGTTTTAAATAAATCAATGAAAGCTGTAATATCGTTATGCACTTTTTTTTTTTTTTTTTACAAACAACAGCAAATAACAGAAGTATAAAAGTTGCATCAAAAAATAATGCAAAAACACTGCAGAAAATCAGTGCAATGAGTGCAATTCAATACCGCGGCTCCAGGCATCCCCGCCCCCTTGAGAGACGCTCCGCTGCACCTCTCCCAAATTGTAGCTCACCGCAAACAGTGCCGCAGACAGGAGGCCAGCTTGTTTTGTTTTTATGACCGAAATTGCGAAAAAACAACTCGTGAAATTTGACCCGCTAGAAGAGCGAGGTGCACGAGAACGCTGGGACCCTTTTTCCACCTGGATCTCTTTCCTTTTTGGCCCCCGCCCCCTTTTCCTCGCCACCTCGGCCGTATCTAGACCCACAGTGTGTAGCACAGACTACGCTTCAATATTGAGCATAATTTAAAAATGTCTGTGTCAAGCTTACTGCAACAAACTGCTCTAAGAGTATAACCGGGAAGCGAGGTAGGAGGGCAAAATAGGTTTAGCGCCACCGCAGCACGGGAGGGAGAATTACGCCCAGGAGCAAATGGATAAAAATAGTGTCGATGCATCG